GATTGCGGTTCCTTCAAATTAACATCGTTAAAACTACGAGTAATTGGGAACGACCGACACGCTCCGACTCCGGTCGTTCAAGTCGCGTTAACATGTTATATTATCTTCTTAAAGTTTTCAACGTACATCGCATCATATTTTTATCGATGATGTTATGTCGATTATAAAATCGAAGTATCGCGAATTTCGTTGACGTGGCATTTCGCGTGATCACTCCACTCCGCGTGACGTTCGGTTTTCCTCTGGCCGCCAACGAGTACGGTCGTCGGGCGGGTGTGTGTAATACGGAAAAAACAACGGACCTCCGCTCGTTGAGTAATGATATACAAATGACGTGCAATAAACTTGCCGGGCCCACATCCCGCACGAAAACAGATAACGGTTTACTACTCTCTGCTATTACTACCACTATTACTGTGCACCATAATAACAATACATACCTATGTCGATGCCGTTTTATTTTTATTATTATTTTTTTCCGCGCAACAATATCTTTTCCCGGGACAGTAATACGTATGTATATGCGCGTATAATAGCACCCTTTACTTCCTGTTCGACATATGCGTGTAGCGCGCGCGCGCGGGTGTGTGTCGTCTGTCGAGCTGGGTTGCATAACTAATTCCGTTTAATAGCGCGCTCATCGTAAAACGGTACGACGACGACGCGATGCACTGCATGGTGCTCCGGCGCTTCCGGGACGAGGGTTTTCCTGGTGAAAAAAAAAATAAATCGCGATCGAGGGGCAGTGTACACGCGGAATGAGCGAGTGTAGAACACCTAAAAAAGAATAATAAAAATAAACGAAAAATACGTTCTTTTTTCGTGAATAATTTATTAACGCGCGACGGCGGAGGCGAATCCGATTTGAACGTCTGTTCGGTTTTATTTGAATATATCACTATTACTCTCGTCCCTCCACACCACGCCGCCGGTTCCGCTGTTATTTTATTATACGCGCCGGATGTCGCCGCCACCGGAGAAGAGCGTGCAAATGATCGTCGCGCTAGCGCCTTACGACGATTCCGCACCATCGAGCAAACGGCGATCCATCGTCATATAATAATAATAATATATATACATACATATATAGTGAACCAGCATTATAATAACATTATATCGGGTTGTCTATGGCAAATCGCGTACACACGATGTGATGCGCGTGTTGTACGAGCACGACTCGGCAATGCAAATTCGACGTAAACGCCATTCGGGTCTCCGCGGGGGTTCACCTCGGGCGTGTGTGCGCGTGATTCCTCGCGTTTATCAGCGGTACGACAACAACGACTTCCATTTATTACAGGAGGGGCATACGCGGTGTCATTGTATAATAATGTTGACGTTTTTCGAATTTCACGAAATACATCCCATTCGGCATAATGGCATGCAAATATTAATCCAAATGGCGTCTCGATAAACATCGTTTCGTATACATAAATAATAATAAAAATAGTGCGTGTATATTATAGTAGTGATATTATATTATTGCGATGCCTCCTCTCCGTCTTGTATTTCTGTTTACGCATAAAAAAAAGTTTTTCGGCATACTGTGGAATAACATATTATATGCCCTTATATTGTTCGCGTGCTTTGTAAACATGTTTTTTTTTTTAACAATAATATGCTATATACACGTATATATTGATCACGTATCGTCATACGCATTCACTACATTTCTAATGGATATAAATATTTTTCTAAATTCTTCGCCTTCTAATTGTTTCGAAAAAAAATACTTATGACGGAGAAATTTAAATTACTAGCGGGATGTTTAAATAACTATATAGTAAACGGTTAATACACAGGAACAGAATTTAACATATCATACGGATGAGTTGGTGGTGAGTTCTAATGAGTTTGAATTGAAAGCCGATACGTCCCTTACAGATTTATTTAATTGATAAGATTGAATCCTTTCAAAGGCAGAATACCCTTAGACTATATATTTCGATTCTGAGTTCAAACGCTAATGTCGTCTGTAGTGTGATGGAAACACATTGATACATTTATCATACACAAATATAAGGTCATATCGTTCAGTTAAATAATTGAATTGACATTCGCGATGTATTAAGGTTATATACTCGTAGTGGGGTAGTTGTTGGTTTAATTAACTAATTGATAGAGTGCTGATGGTTTATTATTTTTTTTTGTGTATGTACAAAATGGTTTTTGGTTTTGTTATAATTGTTCATGTCTTACCTATAAAGTAAATCTGTAATATGCATAAATAATACTTTATTTCAATATATAGATCAACCATATCTACCAACAATGGCATAAATAAACAACAACCTATACGAGTAACAAATTTTGAGAAGTTAATCTACTAACTCCCACTAGTTTATAAAAAATCTACTTCTAAATAAATGTTATTTCACTGATACCAAATTGTAATCAACTTTTTAGAATTTGTAACTGTGTCGTTTTCAAATTATAATTATAGATATTTCAAATTCTAAAATTTTTGATTTTTTTTTTTCAAATCTACGAAGAGTTATTTGTAGAGTCGAATACGAATAATAATGAAACATAATGTTTTGAATAACGTTACATACAATTCTGGAGTTCTGACATATAATAGTTAATTGATTCAGCGGCAAGTTGAAAGAATCGCCCACGCGACGACGTTACTGCAGACACGACCACCGTCATCATTTCAATAATGGTCTACAGTAACGTATACACACTCACACTCGTCCATATTATAATGTGTAACACGATAGAAAAGAGGTATACAGTTACGTGTAGAAGAATCACGTCATCCGGAATATTTATGATGGCGGTTCGGCGTCCGTGGCAAATTGGGTTTATTGGACGATTATAATATTACGGCGGCGGGGCGAACGCCGTCAAGAAAAAGCCGAAGGTTTTTCCTAAACACAAAGTGTCCGACACGCCTTTTGATTTATGATGCGAAAAAACCCCTCCATCCCCGAAACGTCGGCCGAGGGCGGCTGTGGAACTTAACACTTAGTGCACGACCACGTACCGGCGCGACGCGGGCAGATGAATGATGAACGTTGTAGGTCCGCATCGGCAGCGGCGACTATTTGTCATCTTTTCCTCGCAGTGTTCTCGAGGTATACTCTCTGTCTCGGTTATTTCCTCTCTCCGATATTCCCGGGCACGGCCCACTACCGTCCGCACGCGTTCACCCGAAAATCGCGGGATGCACGATTTCCTCCGATACATCTGTCAATGTCGGCCGGAAGACGTGACAATAACGGAATCCGCGTCGGGGTCGTCTACGTATATAGTTTTATATCAGCCGGGTTTCGGTCGAAAATATTATTAAAACCACGTTTATACCTACTACATAATATAGTTCGCTATATTGTCGAAGGCGTCGTCATAAACCGTACGTAGTATAAACTTTTCGAAAGTACGGTGAAAAAAAAATTGAATTACGTCACGGTAGATGGTATGCCGGGGTATAGTGCTGAGTAGAAGTGGCGGGGATCTGAGAGCGGGGAGTGTCGACCGTAGGGTTTCTAGCTGTGAAAATCCAAAGTTTACCCGTGCTTATAGGACGTGATTATTTTCGACGCGCGCTGTGTTTCCCCGGGAGTATATACACGCGGCAGATTTTCCGAAGAAATCAATTACTGAGGAATATGTCGGACACAACGGATTTAATCGAAACGCCGACGGAATTAAAAGCAAACAACTGCATGGTCTTGTGTACACTGAGAAAACCAGGCCATGTCTTGTGCAAACAAGTGGAAGGGTGTGCTGTCCGACGACGGATAGGTAATTGGTTCTGGTCCGGGTTGTTTGTATCCCTCATCCCGTAAGTCATCCGACCATTATGTCATCCGTCCGGAAACAGACTATGTCGGAGACACGTCCAATTTTGATTACTGAAAAATGGTGTTCATATAGGTTTTACTTTTCTTAGACTGTGCCATAGTATATTCAATATTATAAATAACATAAACAATGTTGTGTATTTATAAAAAAAGATACTGATTATTCGTTGTAGTTCTTTTATTTTTAAATTTATATTTAATTTGAAATACATTTTTAAAATAATTAATATTTTTTATAATATATTTTTATTATTTATACAACTATAAAAATATGTATTTTTTATTCGCCTAAATTGTTTTAATTTAATTAATATTTATAACGATGCGACTTGTTTTTTTAAAACGCTATTACTAGGTACTACAGTTTTTTAGGTATTTCTATAAATTTTTAGTGTATTGATAATATATTCAAAAAATAATAAATTTTGAATTAATATACATATATTTTAAAAATCTTAACATTACGTATACATTTTCATAAATAATTGAATGAACTCAATAAATAGTACGCATCAATCTTAGTTAATGGATATAATCGTTTTGTACAGATCGATCACGTTATTACTAGTAGAATGAATATACTTACATTCAAAATTGGGTATTATTAAAAAAAAAAAAAAATGTAAAAAACGTAAAAAATATTTTATAGTTTTTTTTTCTGTTTGAAATGAGGAAGTGAGAGTAAAATTGTTGGTTTAATTTTTGTCAACTTATATTTAATAAATAAACTAAAATTGGTTTCTTGGCGTATTGCGTAGATTATATTATATAGTTTTATCTTTTCGATTTATAAGAAAAATGAATGGAAGCGAAAAGAAAGATTGGTTGTGTGTGAGTGTATACATTGCCATTTGGAACCCTAAGGAAAAAAAGAGAATTGAAAGCTTTTAACAGCAAACAGTGTGTCGAATCGAATCAACGTATTTTCCGAACTGTTAAGCTCTAGGGCGGAGGTGGAGAAGAAGAAATTCTTCGGTATTTTCTTTTATTAACTTTTCACGGGAAATCCGTTTCCTAAACTCTATCGATAAACTATCCGAATGCTGGCGACGCCGAAAATAAATTGAACAGAATATTATGTTTTTTTTTTCTATATTTATTTATGTTTTTTGTCGGACTTTTTATCTAGTTAATAATGTGCATGACGATTCGAATACGTTTTCTCGTCCAAGCTTGGTCCATTTCCACTGTTTAGTCTCCTTTTTTTTTGACGTTGTTCTCGTACAATCTAGCCATGATTGCCTCCAACATGGCCGACGATATGGTAGCATTTTTTCTCACATCTAACACAACTAGTGTGTCATTGATCATCAATGTAGATAGCGCCAACTGAGCACCACGATCGGTGAGCCCGCAGTTTTGCAGGTCCACAGCTTTCATGTAATAGTCGTCCTTTAATGATTCGAATAAGTCGGCAACTCCCGCGTCGCCGATTGCGGTGTTGTCGTTGAGCGTCAACCTTCGTAGCCCGTGCATGATATCTGGATTGGCAGTTCTGTCCCTAAGCGAGTGCGCCCAACATTCTTCATGCCGTTTAACCTGCTGTTTTTTTATAATGTCTAACAGACCGGAGGTTGCCGATTCACGGGTTAAGCAACATCCGGAAAGATCCACAGACCGAATATTCGGTTTGTTCCTGAGTGTCCGGCATAACGTTAGGCAGGCGGTGTTCCCGATGCGGCTATAAGCCAGGGACAAGTGCTGGAGCGTTTGGTTGGTGTCGATACCAGTTATAAGTATTCTTAAAGCTTGTTCGTCGAAAAGCACGTTTTCCAGTTCAAGGCAAACAAGTGCGGTCGTGTTGATCAATACTTCGTGGATGGAAGTTGCGATTAGGCGTACCACGTATAATGTCGTCACAGCAAGAATGTTTCTGAAAAATGATCACGACTAGTGACAGCAATAATAACAGTACAACAGCATTATAAAAATACGTAATTCAATAGCGCTTGATGCGCAAATATCGTATTTACTGTAAATAATTTATTCTTCATACCTATGGGTTTAAGTATATTGAAGGTACATAACATTTTTACGATGTGCTAAATTAAAAATAATTTTAACGAAAAAATTATAATATTTATGCGGATATGTTTTTAGAAGTATATTAAAATAAATATTTCTAAAAAAATATTAAAAATATTACCGTAATTACTTTATAAATATTTTATAAACTAAATGTTGGTAGATATTTCTAAAAATGTTTTTTTCAGTTGAGTTTAAGAGAGAGAGATAATATATAAAGAGATATTATAACCACAAACAATATTTTAAATATTTTTTTTCAACTTAAATAACACTCACTTAGGAGCTTCAATAGCACTACTCAATGTATCATAATTTTTCGTCGAATGTTCCGTGTAACGTTTATTTTTTAAGCGTATATGATGGGTACTAGTATCAGTGCTTAACGCTTCCATTGCGGCTAGCCATTCGTCAGCCTTCATACGATCACCTAATATTTCAATAGAGTTTGTTTTACCATTGCATTTCACCCACGGCACTGGGCGCATCTTGTACTTGCCGCAAACTTCAGCATATGTCAATCCAAATTTGTGTTTTACGGAACTTTCGAACGACTCGTTAGACTTTATAGTAGATAATGATGGCTTAAGTTTACTGTGAAGAAATGATATTCTAGAGGTATTCGATTTGGACGAATTACGTTGTCCCACAACCGACATGGTTAACAGTTTAATATATTAGTTTGGAAAAATTTTAGTAATTTCTCGGGAGAATAAAACTGAACATGTGTTATTTTTTCTAAATATAAGTTTTTAATGGTGTTCACAAAACAATACTATGGAATTTATTATATTACACAATAATTATTGAAGTTTACATGTTTAAGTCGGACAGCTGAACAATTAATACACTTACGTGCTATGAAAATTTAAAATACACCGAGAAAATATTATTCTTAGAATAAATGATAAATATTTTTTTTTACATTACTAACTTGTATCTATGACGATACGATATAATGTATTATGTGGTTCAATTACTATCAAAGAATAGGTATATAGATCAACTGACAACTATTATTATGATAAGTTGCTAATAGAGCATCAAGTCCGCACGGCATACGTTGAAATAATATTATAGCGCAAATTTAATGTCGTAAAGCGTGTTATCTTCTTCTCCGTTTAGGTTTAATATATAGGTATTGGATTTGTTTCGGTTGATCCCGAACAGCGTTCAGCTGCTGTTCACTATGCATTTTTTTATCGTCTTATTACCACTTTAATAACAACTTTCAACAACAAATTTCACGCGACACTTGGCGCGAGCCCTTTTCCGGTGCGCAATTTTCGTGTGAAACACGCCACGCGTTTCTTTCAGGTTTTATTTTTTTTTTTTTTCAAAGACGATTTCCTTCGATATTCCGTACCACGCTGACAACCGGATTACATAATTTTCAACGGAAACCTGCCGCAGGACCCTTAGATCGGATAAAAATAATACAACAAAAAAAAAAAAAAAAAGAAATAATAATAATAAAACCGAGACCGTCTTATCTTTTTACAGCCACCCTATCATTTTGCGTTCATCTCTCACCAGCACGCATCAACGACCACCGGTTCTTCTCTCTCCGCCACGCCGTTCTATATTATATTATTATTATTGTTATTATTATTATACATATATAATATACGAACACTTTGGCGGGCTTTCGGCACGAGGCGTGTGTGTTTTTTTCCTTCTATAAATAATATATATACTCTTTTCCACCTTGCGTATTTTATTTTATCGCCAGAAGAATTTTAAATTATAACGTTCTTTGTCATTCAAAAGGGTTTCATTTGGTTGAGAATAAAAAAAAAACTGTTTTCGCAAATACGAAAAATAAAAAAAAAAAACAGACAGTATTCTATCGGTTCTTTCTCTAAACTCTCTCATCCGAGTAATGCATTTCCATAATTTTACATTCAGTATAGTAAATGACAAATAAATTTGACGGTACTCCGTGTTCTTGGCACTCGAGCGCATACAAACTAATGCCAAAGAGCGTATCATAATTTAGTCAGACTATATTCAGAGTACAACAGTGTATTCGCTACACGCGCGTTATGTATACACGACCATTTCCACCAGGCCGTTAAGACGTTTTATTGAAATGGTTTTACTGCGTGTATATACGAACTTTCAAATTTCAGTAATCTCACAAACTGTTATTGCTTAGTAACGAATGAAGTTTGAATAGTTTTCATATAAAATATGCTTTATATCGAATTGTTTCTAAATATTAGTTTAGAACTTATATTTAACTGTTATGTTTCGAGAATAATTTCTAATGTCATTTGTTCATTGAAATAAAAAATAAATTTTAATTATGCTTGTTATATGGTTTTAATTATTATAAAATAACCACAATTTGGCACGATATTGGGTGATTCTTATAGTATATTACAAAAATGTAGAGTACTTAACGATCACATTCTATTTATTTGATTTTTATAGTGCTTTGTATAAAAGATACATTAATTTTGAAAAACGATTGCGGAAGTATTTTTTTTTATGTTGGATAAACTTTAAAAAATATCGTTTTATAGAATAAAACCGATACAACCATTAAGTGAGTGGTCGTAAAATTACTGCTCGTGTATTTTTACTTCTACTAATAATTTTTCAAATTTGACGTTTCACATTATTTTGTAAAGATAACATTAAGTACCTATTATAATAGCTACTAAAATGTACGTTTTAATATGTCCTGATTTCCTTTTATTATGTGTTTGTATAATATACTTACATAAAGTATAGTGGTATACACAAAGTAATTCATCAAACATGCTCACCCACTTTCTTTCATTGTATAGCAAATTAACTTAAATTTCGACTTTTGGAATTTTTAAATATACTTAAAGATTATATTTTCAAATACTTGAGATTTTTTTTATATCTATTGACTTGTGATGATACAAACTTTTTTTTTTAAATATGAATCCCCATAATTATTTAGTTTATTATTAATTAATAATTAATTACTATTTTTTTTTTTTTTTTAATGTTGAAGTATCAAATTTAGAAATGCGATCAAGTAGTTTTTCAGTTATAAAATGCTTATATTTGAAAATGGTTTTACAGAAATATAAAATAGATATAATGATGGGCCCAACATTTTTTATGCTTGAATCATTTTCATAAATTATAAACATTGATAAATATAAATTACTACAGTTTCAAAATAACCATATAGTCTCGGTATCATCAAAACCCATTATCCTTATAATATATGCATAAAACTATGTAATGAAAAAAAATTATCCTTTAAAAATTTATTTTGATACATCAAGGTTTTTATTAAAATTACCAATTAAATTATTTACAGTAAAAAAGGTAACTATTTAATTAAAAAGGTTTGGTCTCTGCAGGACACTCCTTAATTAGTATACGAAAAACTTTAAAAAATTGAAAATGTGGCGTTTAAATGTGTTTGGAAATTTCAAAAATCAGATTTAAAATAACTGCATTATTAAACAAAAATATGAGCGAGCGTGTTTGATTAATCGTCATATGTATACAATGTCAGCAGGAGTATCTGTTCAATTTGCGTGTAGTCGATGGTTTATTACCACACTTTTTACAGGTTATGACGATGTCGTAAAACCAATCAGCCATCAGGTATATAGACATATAGCACACCTATGCGAGGTTTCGTTTAGACGGCCGTGTGCAATATTGCGCACGACGCGGGCATGATAATAGCATGTAGAAAATAACGTGATCGTACGTGTAATGTGATAGTGTGTTATGACGGAGTTAAAAAATTGTTTATATTTCGACGTTATCGCAAATTTAAATTCTAAAGTTTGGCGTTTCTCGTACGCCACATCCGATACCGAACACGCATAATATCTTTAATAATGATGTGCCATCGTCGACACATTACAACAACGATGATAGTACGCGTAATGGACGAGTAGCGAGACGAAAGCTGACGCGTACGTTTAATTTCCTGGAAAAAGCGCAATGCGATAATGACAATGTATAGTGCATGTGCACGGAGCGCGGTCGGCGGTATCGCACGATATAATATAACAACACGTGACACACGCAGAGAACGATTTCGGGACGGAATAATATAATATAATACTGGAGAAAAAAATGAAAAAAATGAAACACCGCCGTCATCTCGTAATACTTTTTCCGTTGGTTTTTTCCTCGATTTTTCTCTTTTACCCCATCCGTCGCCGCCGACGTGTGAGCTACCTCGGGAATCAATCATACGCGCGTCAAACACATGTAAAACGGTTTTAGATGGTACCGACACATTCCTCTCTATCTCTCTCTCGTCTTAGGGCGCAGCGGTGTGCGGTTCTACGTGCGTGCATATATAATATTATACAATGTACATCTACATATATATCCCCAAAAAAAAAAATAACGCGTTTTTATCGTCTCTTCTTTTTTCTTTTCCGTTTAAATTTAAAGAGACGATCGATTCATCATCGGCGTCCGCGCGCGCAGAGGGCGTGAAAAAGTCACGGGCCCGCTCGCTTACTCCGTCACTCTCTCCCTCTCTCTACACAAAGTCTCTCGTGTCGAGGTGAAATCACGTTTATTATATTTATATGTATACGTGTATACACACATGAGTATGATGATATATATATATACGACGACGCCCGCGCGTAAAAGTCTTGAGGGTTCGAGTTGTTGTTGGTCTGTTTGTTTTTTTTTTCCTTTTTTTTTCCCGCAGAAGGGCCACTGTAATATGACGAATGTAGTCGAACGAAATAAACAACCGGCGCTGCAATAAATCCGATGATGGCGTTTAAAAAACGGGTTGCGCGCCTAGTCCTCTCTCTTTTTTCCGGACGTTTTAACTCGATAACTACGCATAAATCAGCATCTTGTACGGTGCAAAGATGTCACAGACGCAATCGACCGGAAAGCTTTAAAGCACTAAACGCACACGTATATATATGTATGTGTGTACAGTATATACAGTGTTTTTGGTTAAAATATAAGTGTAAAACGTCGGCGCACGGCAATCATTTCGTCGTCATCATCGATTACCTAATGAAATTTCGAGTGATTTTTACGATTCCGAGGGTGCCCCCCCTCAGAAAGTAAGCGATTTTTCCCAGTCGTAGGTCATCAGAACTGATATAAACGGATTCACAGTGCAACAAGACGTTGCTGATGATAATTGAATCGTTTACAGTAAATTTAGTTTAGCGATTGAGAGAAACGTAGATGAATAAAAAAAAAAGATACCTACTGTTAAAACATATGCATTAAGCCATTATTATCATGTTGCACACAAATGGAAATGCGCAAAACGTGACGGGGATCACGACTTAAGAAATAAGATGCGCAGTCATCTATACACGATTTTGAAACATTTCGTTTTCATTTTTTCGATTTTTAGTTTTATTCTCATAAAATATTTTATTTCGTCTTATATAAATTAAACATTTTTTATTGATCGCAAAAACGTTAGGCTGGTCAGTGGTCAAACAACGTGATAGCGCGTTTTAGATATTATTTAATAAACACGTTAACCATTACTCAGTCAATTAATAACTATGCGGGTCACGTTAGACACAAAAACCAATGAATTTACTCTATAATTATTGATGTTTGATTATGCGCAGAACATACAATATTCCATGAGCCAGAACAAATAAGGTTTCGTGTTAATTTTGAATAATTAATAATAAACTACATATTAAGG